ATTGATTGATTGATTGATTGATTGATTGATTGATTGATTGATTGATTGATTGATTGATTGATTGATTGATTGATTGATTGATTGATTGATTGATTGATTGATTGATTGATTGATTGATTGATTGATTGATTGATTGATTGATTGATTGATTGATTGATTGATTGATTGATTGATTGATTGATTGATTGATTGATTGATTGATTGATTGATTGATTGATTGATTGATTGATTGATTGATTGATTGATTGATTGATTGATTGATTGATTGATTGATTGATTGATTGATTGATTGATTGATTGATTGATTGATTGATTGATTGATTGATTGATTGATTGATTGACTGATTGGTCATTACTTTCAATATTATTTTAAAACTTTTAAAACTTTTAATTGAATTTATTCGAACTAGCTCATGTAAAAATGGAGTGCTGAAGATTATGTGTGAAAATCAAGGTTAGTTGGCACAATAATTTTGTGGTAGCAGTAGTAGTAGTAGAAGTAGCGCTGTAGTAGTAGTAGAAGTAGCGGCTGTAGTAGTAGCAGTACCAGCAGCAGAAGTACCACCAATCTTCCAAATTACTTTCATACAGATTGTGGGACTCGCAACTTCACGAGGTCGGCAATGGAGATGAACCTCACGAACCCTAGTCCCTATATTATAAACGGGGTACGATCAAACAGGGGGGCCTGGCCCTGGTACGCTGGCCTCTACTACAAGAATTCACTCTACTGTGGGGGTAGTATTATCGGTCAGTAATTATTGTTATTTATTATTATTATTATTTATTATTATTATTATTTATTATTATTATTACTCTTTTTATTATTAGTAGTAGTAATAGTAGTAGTTCTAGTAGTAGTAGTAACGGTAGTGGTAGTAGTAGTAGTGGTAGTAGTAGTGGTAGTAGTAGTAGTAGTAGTAGTAGTAGCAGTAGTAGTAGTTGTAGTAGTAGTAGTAGTAGTAGTAGTGGCAGCAGTAAATAATATTAGTAACAATTATAAGTAGTAGTAGTTGATTAATTTTTTTTTCAAATTCCTTCCGGGCACACGAAGGATTATAACCGCAATCCTCAGCCTCGTTATTAAGAAAAAATTGATACTAACATTTTATTTTCATTTTTTTTTTTACAATTACTACTGCTACTGCTACTACTACTACTGCTACTACTACTGCTACTACTACTACTGCTACTACTACTACTACTACTACTGCTGCTACTACTACTATCACTACTACTACTGCTGCTACTACTACTACTACTACTACTACTACTCACCACAACTATCATCACCATAATCACAGACTCCCGCCAAACGAGATTAGAGTGAAAGTGGGAGGCTATCCGGTACTGAGGAACAAAGATTTGGGACTGGAAGTGGATAAGGTAAGTATTTTTAACAATGCCATGTTGGACGCCAGCGATAATCCCAAGGACGATGTTGGCATCATACAATTGAAGTGAGTGATGGTGATGATGACCGTTTTTTGGGATTGTTATCATCACCGTCATCGTCCCCTTCAATCCACATCATCATCACCATTACGATCATCATCATCGTCACCATCACAATAATCATTATCGTCGTCTTTCCAGAAAACCACTGAAATATAACTGGGATATCCAGCCGGTCTGCCTGATTGAAACTTGGATGAAGGAGCAAGCGATGAAACTATGCATCGATATAGGACACGGATTAGTCATCACCAGTGAATGGATGGATGAATGAATGAATGAATGATTGGATGGATGGATGGATGGATGAATGAATGGATGAATGAATGAATGAATGAATGAATGTATGAATAAATGAATGAATGAATGAATGGATGAACGAGGGAATGAATGAATAGATAGATGAATAGATGAATGAATTCAGGAATAAATGAATGGCCTAGCGAATGAAAAAAATTATTTGCAAATTAATATTAATCAAAAAAAAATTCAATTATACTACACTTTCACTTCTTCACTAATCCATTCACTCATTCTATCATACTTTCATTCATCCATCCAAAGACCAGCTATCCAGCACTCTACTCCAAGCCAGAATGTCCATTCAGCCATTTTCATTCTGTACGAGTTTCAGCGAGAATCTAGAGCTTCAAGACACCGACAAACAACTTTGCCTGGGCGTTAATAGGGGAGAGAAAAGTGAATCTGGTTTATGTTCCGTTGGTTTAATTTTCATTTTTGATTGGTTTATCTATGCTTTCATCGTCGCATTCTTCTTCCTCTGCCTTATTTCCACGGACTCAACCTCACGAACTCTCACCGCGAACTCACAATTTCACTTACATACATCAGCATCTTTCTATTCTTCATTGAAAATCCCCTCTATTTCATCATTATCTCTACCTTCTAATAACCATCACCTTCATTCTCATCACCATCTCACCGCAAAACGTTCATCCCCACAATTGAAACTCTCTCACATCTTAGACACCCACCCACTCACCTACTCACCATCTCACAGGGTGACAGTGGGGGCCCTCTGATCTGCACCATGGACCGTCAGGTGTGGTACGTCACGGGCATAAATAGTTACGTGCTTGGGAAGAATATCGACCTCGCCAAATATAAATGCATCATCAGCATCGTGTACCGAGTTAGGCCTTATGTTAACTGGCTGAAGAGGTTCATAGAGGAAGAGGATTGAGGGAGATAGAAAGAGAGAGAGAGAGAGGAGAGAGAGAAATGAATACAATGATGACTACGATTTAGATGCTGTTGATGATGAAGAAGAATAAGGGGAAAAGAAGATGGCGAATAACAAAAGATGCTGCTGCTGATGCTGATGATGATGAGGATTGTGGTGATGATGATGGGGATGATGATGATGATGGTGGTGGTGGTGATGGCTGTGATGACAATTATGACGATGATGCTGTTGACGTTAAGAGAAAAATTAAAATTTTGAATTTTTGGATTGTTGAATAATGATTATGTAATTAAGTCGGTCAAAAAATTTGTTTGTTCGTCTCAGTTACAAAATTATAATCATAATAAAATAATAATAGTATAATAATGATAAAATAATAATATAATAATAATAAAATGATAATAATATAATAAAAATAATAATAAAAATCAGATAAAACTCGCGTATATACGTCTGCGTTTGAACTGTAAACAGAAAAGAAACATTATTTCGTTATTACTTTTTTGCTTGACTACACTATAAGCTATTATTATTATTATTATATTATTAATTATTATTATTATTTTCTATTATCTATATTACTATTTCGTTTAACTAGAAAATAATTAACAATCAACCTATTAAGCATTTCATTATTTTCTATTAAAATTGAACTATAAACAAGTTTTTTTTGGGATTTTTAAAAGTTTAGAAGAATGGTATATGGCGGGCGAAAGGTACGTTAACATAATAATATTAATAATAATAATTATGTTTTATTATTATTATTTTTATTATTATTGTTGTTATTATTGTTGTTATAGTCTTCGGCTAGAGACATGCCACAAGTACATAGGAGGTCCAGGACATCGTGTTGTAAGTTCGTCTGTTTTGTTTAATAGTATCCTATGAGAAGAAGGTTCATGCCTCCATTCTTCTCTCGATCATTTATTCATTCATTTATTGATTGATTGATTGATTCATTCATTTATTGATTGATTGATTCATTTATTGATTCATTCATTTATTGATTCATTCATTTATTGACTGATTCATTCATTCATTTGTTTGTTTGTTTATTCGTTCGTTT